TGCATCAGTTGCCACTTTGGATGGGTTGTAAGATTGGGAGAGTATTGTGCTTTTTCTATTGATGTACTCTGTATGGAAGTTGGAGTCATGAGCGTAATTCGACCAGGTTTCGCCGAAAATGTTGGCTATTTCTAAGGGTGAGGAAAATAGCTGATTGGAAAGCTGAATAACTTTAATGGGAGTAGGAGGGATTCCGGTAAGGGCTTTGATTTTCGACCAGATTTTTTTGGGTGAGTAGGAGGGGTTGATGTCTTCAGTAAATTTTCCGATAGATTCTGCTTTCGCTGCCTTGACACTTTTTTTAAAAATTGCATTGTCCTTTTTGTAGGCAATTAAATTGGGGACTGAGGGAGATGATTTATAAATATGCCACAGCTTTTGTTTTTCTGCTCTTAGGGTACTAAGATTTTTATTCCACCATGCCGCGTAGATTTTTAAAGGAGTTGTTTTGCTTTGTGGAATGGCCACATTGGCCGCGGACCTGATTGCTTTTGTGATGTTGGCCGCAAGTTGATGAACATTGGAGGTGTTCCAGTTTTTAAAGTTTTTTTCACAAGTGGTTTGATACATATCCCAGTTGGCAGCGTCGGTATTAAAATTCGGGGACTTGGTGAGATGACAAGGATTTAGCTTGGTTTGAATGACCGAAAGTAAGGGAAAATGATCACTACCGTACAGACTACTTAGCGTTCTCCAGCTACATTTGGGGCTTAACTGTGCAGATGCCAGCGTTAAATCAATGTTTATGAATGTGTTGTGGGTTGAAAAATGAGTGGGAGAGCCGTCATTCAAAATAATTAGTTTTCAGCGAAAATTACATTTTCAACTATGGTACCTCGTTTGTTGGACTTTTCAGAGCCCCACAGAGGGCTCCAAGCATTAAAATCTCCTAGTAGGAAGGGTGGACTTACTGAACGGGAGAGTAGAGAGCAGATATCTGCCTCACAGAAAGTTTGGGATGGTGGGATGTACTTACGTGTTAATGATAGTAATTTGAAATGTAAGCTTTATTTCAATGGATATTGATTGGATGGTCGATGATAGAAATACTATTCGGTGGGGAATGTTACGTTTGATAAAGATTGCGACGCCCTGTTTGGGGTTTTTGTTATTAACACAGTTGTGAAAATACCCCACATAGGCTTTTGGGATAATAATATTCTTAGTATTATACGGGATATGAGTTTCCTGAAGGCATATTACATTAGGATGGGTATCTCTGATTAGTAAATCAAGTTCATTGTAGTTATTGAGATAGCCTTTGATGTTCCACTGAATGATTGTGAAGGCCATGTTGTATGTTTGTTTAAATATAAACCGGGTTTTATGAAATAGGTGCAAGTTAAGAATAAATGTAAATGTAGATGTAGATGTAAACGAGAATATAAATGTAAATGTAAGTATAGGTATATAACTATAAAGGTTAGATAATCTGTGTATAAATATATATATATATAAATATAATTACGTATGTAGGTGCAAAATTAATGTTAGAGAGCGTTGAATGTTATTGTTAGTGTGTGTTGTATGTATATAAACAGATGATTTAGATTTGAGTGGTTTTGTTGGGGGCTGTTTTGGATTTGATGTATTCTTTTAATGCTGTTGTTGTTGCAGATGATAAGACGTTATTGTTGATGGGATGTGGTGAGTGCGTTTTGTAGTTTTCGTCTTTTGCTCGCTGGTGAGTTATTTCGAATTCCATTGTGTCTGTTGTTTGTTTACGGTCTGTGCCAATTGATAGAAAAGTTCTCTGGATAGTAAATTTTTGACAGCTATGAGGTGAAAAAAAATGTTTGATACGGCAGGGCTAGTGAAAAATTTGACAGCAAGCATTATCAAGAAGAAGNTAGTTGTCGTGGTTCATTGGATATGTTATTGCTACTGCTGTAGAGAGGTCTTGTAGGTCAGATGATTGCGGCTCATTGCTAGTTGACTGGATGCTGTGAGTTTTATTTTGCTTTAAGACTTTCTGCTCGACGAAACCGGTTTTAGGGGATTCGCTGAGAAGAGTAGTGTTGTTGGTAGATTGTTTTGGCTTTGGTGCAGATATGTTGTTTGTATGTGCAGAGTTTGTTTCAATTTCATTGTTAGGTTTTAGGGATGAGACGAAGGTTTGGGAGTTTGGTAAGATGGGATTCCGGGATTTGTATATTTTGTTTGCTTCTTTCATTGTACATTTTGTTTCAGTCTTTATTTTTAGTACTTCTTTTGCTTGCAAATATTTTGGGAATATATTTGATGAAGCAGCATGTTCACCTGCACAGTTAGCGCAAAAGGACCTGATGCATGGGTCGGGGATGTGGGGTGGTAGGTTGCATGTAGAGCAGGCTGGAAGATTTTTACAGAATTTTTGCATATGCCCTAATTTTTGGCACATCTTGCATCGCATGGGATTCGGGTAAAACGGGCGCACTTGCGTAGTTATCCAAGCTATATCAATTTTCTCTGGAAGAAAATAGCTGTCGAATGAGATTAGGACAACTCCTGTGGGTTTAGAAATTCCGTTTGTAGTACGTTGAAATTTGTAGATACTCGTAACATTGTAGTTTTTGAGTTCTTCGATGATCTCCCTTTCAGGGACGTTGTTCAAAAATGGAGCATAAACCGTGCCTTTAACGCTGTTTAGGTTGTCGTGATATTTGGTCGTGATTTCGCAAAGGCCAGGGAGAGATCGAGCGTCAATGAACTTTTTGGCTGATTGTCGGTTTTTGACGAGAAGTATCAGACCACCATCTGACTGCAGGCTTATTGAATTGATATCCTTACATAAGGCGAGTAATGATTTGTGAATTGCAAATATCGAGTAGTTGGAAAAAGATTTGTTTTCATCAGCTGGTTTTATAACTATAAATTTAGGATCATCCTTTTTAGTCACGGGGAGTTCGTGGAATTCTTCGCACAAATTTGATGTCTTTTTCCGTTTAGAACGGGGGCTGGGTGATAATAGAGCATATCTATTATCCCCAAAATTGAAGGCCCCTGGGGCCATTGTCAATTAGATCACACACAAGAGCTAAGTAACTTGTCTTAATTGTCACAAAGTAATAAATAATAATCGCGTGTACACTGCACACGAACGAATAGGGCGAAAAAGAAATTGCAATCAACAAGCGTAGCACAACCGTATCGCAAGAGGGCTAGTCGGAGACTGACAAGCAAATTTTTTTCCGGCTTTTGCAAATTGAATAAGTTCTCTGTAAGATGGTTGTTAAAAAAAATACGTGAACATAAATATATGGTATATGGGCTATGGAAAAAGGGATATTTCCAGCAGTAAACGTTTTAGTGTGGGCAACAATGATATATTTTAAATAAGTCAGATCGGAATATGCGCTCTCTGGGAAGAGAATACCTGTAATTATGGCACCATGGTTTCAAATCCATTTATTTATTATTTATTTCATAGTAGGAGAGCTTCTCAAACAATATATAAGCAATTTTTTCGATTCAAGTTGTTAAAAAGTAATGAATATCTACTCCCGGGACTAATCCCGGGATTGTGACAACGCCATGCCGAAAATGCCGGGATCGTACGTCAAAGAGAACATAGTCGTTTTAACAATATTTTTTGTTTTTTCTTCTTTAAATACCTGCATTGGTTTCTCTGTGTATTATGATTCTTTTGGACCAATCTTAAAATAAACTACTAGACACAAAATAAGAAAGTGTGCACTGTAATTCTTAACTTAAATTTTCATGATTTGCCTTTGAAGTTATATATTCCTTTCAATAATTTCAAATGGGGCTCTTTGGGGAATTTATTTTTAGCAAAAATTTAAAGAACAGTAATTTTGTTTACTCGTCGGGCAACCTTTTATTCGTAGGGATATACATTGGATCCTTGGCTAAAATTTTATGTGGTAAAACTGTCCCTTCTTTGCTATTTAAAGTCAAAGAGTAAGCTCCTTCAATAGGGATTTCCAGCAGAAATGATCAACGTCTGACTATAAAGAGAACCGATGCTCAAATAATTAAAAAACTATAGGTCTGACCTTTGATAAGATAAGAATTAGGTAACGGGCTGCTTTTTTTAAAAATAACTGTATTCTGATCCGATTCGGCTGACAGCCACTACTTTGAAAACAGAATTTTGTTCAAAATTTTCATTGCTGGAAAGTAATAATTTATTTTCCATATCCACCTATTTAGCTCGCTATAATGACAAATTGTTCAAACCAGTCGCAGAAGAAAGCATTAAAAATGACTTACAAAAACTAAAATCGAAAAACGCTGATGAAGTTACCCTGCACGAAATGTATCTAACTATAAGCTAACTTCAAGTTGATTAGGAAGGAGCTACAAGTCACTTATTATCTGTATTTTTTTTTCGACGAAAGCTAACTATATTTGTATGGCAATGGCCGCGAAATAGTCAAGGGTGGTTTACCTCTGCATTAGATGTAGTCAAGGGTGGTTACCTCTGCATTTGGTGTAACTAACTTGTAACTAACTATTTTTGGACATAAAATATCAGTAGGAAAAACAAAATATATTTTTTATTTTTTTATTTTTATTTATTTTATTACATTTCATATTTGTTACCATATTCTACTGTAGGTGGTTCCATATTCGAACTTCGTCAGACATAACTTCCAAATGATAATATGAAATTTCGATCTTCCTTTTATTTGTCCTCAATTCGAAAAAGTATTTGCGAAGTGCATGATATTTAAATAGAAACGCGTTTAAAGAAAACAATCTCGAGCTTTACTCCTGCAGTACTTGTCCACTTGTTTCAAGTTAACTTTTTGTAGCTAACTACAGGTTATATATTTTATAGAAATCCCGCAAAAAAGCAAACTACAAGTAGGTTATTTTTTATCAATTGATAATTTTTTTCTACAGGGTACAGATTCGCGGCTCAATATGGCTAAATTCAAAATGGCGGATAATTTTTTAAAACGTATAAACACACCACATACATATTACCTAGTTTCAACAATTTTAGTTAGTTTTATTTAAAAATACTAATAAAGTACACATATTTTTAATTTCAGTCATTTGAAACAGTGGCCACGGCCATATATTCGGTTTTGGTTATGTTAGCTATGCATCCGGATGTACAGGAAAATCTTTTTCGTGAAACCTATGCGCTATTTCCTCAAAAGAACATTGAAGTTACATATGATCACCTGAAACAGGCGCCTTACCTGGACATGGTAGTGGCCGAAACATTACGCCTTATGCCGTCCATACCAATTATCGGACGGCAAGCAATACGCAAAGCCAGATTAACGTCGGAGATAGATTTATCACCGAATATGCAAGTGATAGTGCCTATTTTTAGCTTGCATCGCTCTAAAACCTGGTGGGGGCAACAGGCTCATCTTTTCAATCCTAATAACTTCACGCCTGAAAATATTGCTAAACGGAATCCGTATGTATACATGCCGTTCTCGAAGGGCGCAAGAAATTGTATAGGTAAGTGTTGAAACCCCTCTAAATAAATTGTAGTTGTATTTCGACTGCTGAGTGGAAGAGCGCCCTATCTTAGCAGCCAGTTCGAAAACTCCCTATCTCAGACAACTTTTCAAGAACGCCCTATTTCAGAATTCGGTTTAAAAATGCCCTATCTCAGCTGCCGATTCAAACATATTTTCAAAATATTTTCAATTGAGGAAGGGTGTTTTTCAATAAAATTCTAAAATAGGGAGTTCTTCAAACAAATTCTGAAGTAGGGCGTTCTTCCGGTCAGCTGTCGATTTGTAAATATTAGTTTAAATTTGTTATGTATTTTTTGATAACGAGTTTGCTGGTAGAACGTCATAATGGAAAAAATGAGTGCGTGTAGTTGAGGTAACCACCTTTTCAGATGCTCAGAAACGAGATTGAAAAATAGAATTACAACCTCATTGAAATGGCTATATGTGCAATGCTTATGTTGGAATTTTTCGTAAAGCCGTCCATTCATGTGTATGGGCAAATTTTTAAATTTAAATTCTTGTGAAAGTTTTACGTCACTCGCAATGTGTGTGGCGTTTTTGGCGAGCATTTGCGCATTTCGTCTTTAATTTATCGTCGCATTTTACTTTGCACTGTAATTTTTTTACTTTTTAAAAGGAAAAATTGAAATTTGGCAAAAAAAAAGTGAAAAATATAAGGAGGTACAGATGTGAAAATCAAAAAGCATACGTGAGAAATTTTCTCAATCTCGTGGACTTGTCATTTCAATATTTTTTAATGTGTTCTCACTGATAGTCCTCTGCAATAACGACACAACTCAAAATTGTATAGTTTTCAGTGTGTTTTGTGTTTAGTAATTTAGCAATAATATGTCTTGGAAGGTAATTATTCCGGATTAGTTGCAGTCATTCTTCAGGGAAAGCTTTCAAATTATCAGATTTTACTAAAGATTTAGAAGATTGGACTGAAAAAATACGATATAAGTAACAACTCCCCAGTAGTTAAACGAAAATAACTCCACCGGTATTAGCGAACAACGTCATGATATCGATATTTCCTATAAGAAATGACTAAGTAACAGGGATGGAATTTAAAAATTTCAAAATGTGCCTAATGGCCTTCAAATGGCCGAAAAAAAGTTTAAAGTGCCACAAAATTAAAATATCTTTCTTTTAAGGTCTTTAAAGAACAATATATTTTTAAAAATAGTATTTTTCAAATACACTGAGGTAATATAATAATTATTAATTAACCAAACTATTACAGCAAATCACTTTGATGAAGGATTCCTTAGACATATGTATCAGGGAACTGCAATTATTCATGATTTTAAGTAATTGGTTGAATAACACAAGAAATTGTGTTAGTGGATATTATTCATTGAAAAATATTCACACATATGCACTAACACTATTTTACGTACGGGACACAAAGCGAGAGTATGTACAATGACTAAGTTCTCTGTAGGGATGGGTAAATTCGATATTCGAAGCTTCGATATTCGAATTTTAATCGAATTTTAGCTCCAAAATGGCAAACTTTTGAAATCGAACTTTGTGTTGCTAAAATTCGGATAAAATCGAATTTTTCCAGAAAAAATCGAATTTCATCTTTATTTCCAAAAAATCAACTCTTCAAATTTTTTCTTTCTGACTAAATTTGCCATCACTGTGTGTGGCACTCCATTTGTCTTAGGGATTCAAGGAAAAAATACATGTTTTTCGATCTGATGCATAAAAACAAAAAATCTGTGCCAAGAAGGAACTGTTATTCCAAATTCAATTTAAAGTTTTCTTTATAAAAAAAACTAGTTTCTTTGTTGATTTTTTATTTTAAATTTTTAGAGGCTTTTACGTTAGTAGCATGAAGCTTTTGCCTGAGAAGACACCTAGTAAGATTTTCCGGAGAATAATTTTTTTGAATATATCAATCCATAAACGATCTGCCAAATTTGCTTTTTGCGAGATTTCTTGAAGTAAGGGTCAAATATGACCGTTTTAGGCGGGAGATAATGGGTTAAAATGTTCTACGAAAATATTTCCCAAGAAATTTTAATAGATATGTCTTGACCTTTAATTTCGCTCAGACATTTATTTTAACTATTTTTTCGACTTTTATGAAAACCACTTAGGCCGAGATATGAAAACTTTAGTAGGCCATAAAATATAAAAAATACGAGCTAACTTTTGCAAATCCATCGAGCGTTTTACTACTGGATGGGTAGACATTCAGAAAATGTTAACAAAGTACGGGCTGGTTTCGGCTGTCGCAGAGTGTAATTTTAGATTAACTTTTTAAACAGGTGGCCACTCCCTTCAAGCTCCTCAAAAATATTTTAATTGTTGCATAGTATTTTAAGTACAACACTTCTTTAAATAAATTCGACTTTTCAAACAGGTGGCAACCCTCCCAAATGTGATTAAAAAAAGTTTATTCAAAACCATTTCGATTGATACCGATATTGGAGTAATTTATTTAACTTATTAAATATGTAATTTGATTTTGATTTTCTTACATATGGCAAAAAACTAAAACCATCTACATTTCCTTCCCCCTTATTGACACCTATCCCTTTTTGAAAATCGAACGAACGATACAGATTTTATGACTTGGTGTTAAATATTTAACGCAAACATCTGCGGAAGTGATTATTTGAATTTGATTTTCTAACCTGTTTCATAGAACTAAAACTATGTTGCAGACCCAAAGGACAAGCCTTTAGTGCGACTCCTAATTTTTTTAAATACAGATTTTATGACTTGGTGTTAAATATTTAACGCAAACATCTCCGAACTCGATTAAGAAGTTTCACTTCAAAAAAATTTTGCGAAATTCGAAAAAATTCGAATTAAATCGAATTTGCACCACCGAATTTCGAATCGAATAATCGAATGGTTGGGCAATGTTCGAAATTCGGAAAAAATCGAATTTCAACCCCCCACTACCCATCCCTAGTTCTCTGTTGACATGAATTGATGTAGTGCTCAGTTCTCTCATTGAGCCATTAAACAAATTTATTATACCGAAATGAGTCGCAGCACTAAGAAGCACTAATAGTTCAGTCGAATGATTTTAGTGAATTTATTGGTTTTCGTCGTTTATAGCAACAAAACATGTACGACGAGAAAGCGACAGCATGCGAAGGCACACTCTCACTTTTAGCTCACACTTGTTTATGGTGGCGCCCGCATGTCGCACAGTGTTGGGAAATGAAATTGTTCCTTCAGTACGAAATCTATCCAAAAACTGTACTGTTCGACAGTAAACTGCATCGATTTTAATTTGCTCATATATTTTCATAGTACATGCATACATAGATTCCCTTCAAGATTTGATGGTATTCATGGGAAAGTTTATGTAGGTACATTTTACACTTTGAACATAAATGTGTTAGACCAAGAGCTCATGACCAAAAAACTCATCATACTTCAGATCGATTGAAATTTTTTGTGAGCTTAGCTTGTTAATATATATGTAAATCGAGATCCGGGGGCTGGCTGCTGAACAGCGGTCTTGATTATGCGTTTTCAGTGACTAAAGATGTCAATAAAAACCGTTACTCAACATACTTCAGATGACTTGACATTTAGAAAGAATGTATAGAAAATGAATTCAAGGTTGCCAGCCAATTCTGATGGTCGTAGAGTACTGCCAGCCCATGTTGAAAGTGCATTGCTGCAACCATAACTTAACATACTTCTGATGGGCTGTCCTTATCACAGGACATTATTAATATTATAAATAGATGAAATGTCTACACCCAGCCCAATCTGATGTTCTTAAAGTATTGCCAGCCCATGTTGAAAGTGCATTGTTGCACCTTTAAGTCAACATACTTCAGATGGGCTGTCCTTTTCACAGGACATTGTTAATATTATAAATAGATGAAATGTCTACACCCAGCCCAATCTGATGTTCTTAAAGTATTGCCAGCCCATGTTGAAAGTGCATTGTTGCACCTTTAAGTCAACATACTTCAGATGGGCTGTCCTTTTCACAGGACATTGTTAATATTATAAATAGATGAAATGTCTACACCCAGCCCAATCTGATGTTCTTAAAGTATTGCCAGCCCATGTTGAAAGTGCATTGTTGCACCTTTAAGTCAACATACTTCAGATGGGCTGTCCTTTTCACAGGACATTGTTAATATTATAAATAGATGAAATATCTACAGCCAGCCCCTTCTGATGGTCACATCATATGAAAATTGTAAAAAAACGTAATTTTCAGGAGTGCGGGCGCGTCGCACAGTGTATGATTTTACCCATCTAGCTGCTTTTATTTCTGTAACTAGAAAACTATTGAAGATAGATTAATGAAATTTTGCACAAGGTACGTTACAAGATAGGCGAAGCTTTTTACAAAAAAATTGGTAATTTATAGTTACTGTCACGCCACCCTATTATATAACTGCAATTTTTAAAAATGCAAAAACTGAAATATTTAACTAACTACAAAGGCTAAAATGCCTATAATTGATATTTAGAATTTTCCTATAACAAGGAATTATAAACTGACAGAAATGGACTTAAAAATAAATATATATTTTTTTAATTATAGGTGTGGAAAATATCGATAAAAAAGTAAAGTTGGGTCAACAAAATTCCGTTATAAGTTCAATATTTCTTGCTCTATTTACAAAAATGGGATACCATTGGAACGGTAATGAATCAGGCTTTCTCTTTTAAAGCAAAAATACAAGAATTTGTCTCGGTCGAGATAAAATGCAAATGAATTACTCGAAGAAAATTAAATTCCCAGTAGGAAAAAAAACAAAATTTCATCAAAACCTGCACTTTCCAGCATGTATTGTTTAAAGTCTAAGAGGAGTGGCAAATAAACTGAGATACAAATTTTATCGAATAGTGGCGGATAACGAGTTTTCGGGTCTAATAAAAATAATATTTTGCTAAACATAAATTTAACTCAACATCGTTTTACTTTAACATGAAATACTGAGTCCTAGTTTACTAAAATCCCAAAAATGTATATTCATTAAAAATATCATACTTAAA